GCTCTACGGTTGATTCCGATGATGTCGATGTCGTCCGCAAAACCAAGGAGCATGTGCGACTTTGTGATGATGGTACCGTTTCTCTGCAGGCCAGCTCTCCTAATCGCTCATTCGAGGGCGATGTTGAATAGCAAGTTCGAAAGAGCATCTCCCTGCTTCAACCCATCTAAGGTCACGAACGAGGCCGAAATCTCGTCTGCAACCCGTACACATGATTTCGAATCATCCAGATTTGCACCAATCAGCCTAATTAGTTTCGTCGGAAAACCGTTTTCTTGCATTATCTGCCATAGCTCGTTTCTCTTTACTGAATTGTACGCTGCCTTGAAATCTAGGAACACATGATGAGTCTGCAAGTTGTATTCCCGGAACTTCTCAAGGGTTTGACGCAGGGTAAACATTTGATCCGTCGTTGATCAACCCTCACAAAAACCAGCCTGGTATTCACCAACGAAGGATTCCTCAAGCGGTCAATCTGTTGAACAGAACACGTGATAATATTTTGTACGCCGAATTCAGAAGCGTGATTCCTCTGTTATTGGCGCACTCCAGTCTGTGTCCCTTTTTGTAGAGGGGACAAACGAGACCATCCAACCAACTAGCGGGCAATTCTTCCTCCGCCCATATCTTGAGCAGTATACGGTGGATCATCTGGTGCAGCTGCTCACTTCCGTGTTTGAGAAGTTCGTCCGAGAGCTCGTCCTTCCCCGCAGCCTTACTGTTTTTCAGCACTCGTATCGCCTTTTTCCCCTCTTCTAGCGTTGGTGGTTCCACAGCTTGACCATCGTCGTCGATGTGTGTTCTGTTTGTAGATGCTCTCTCGTTCTCTCCGTTCAGCAACGTCTCGAAGTACTCCTTCCACCTGGCAGCCACCATCGTTTTATCTGTCAGCAGATTACCTTCACGGTCATAGCATAGAGGTAACTCTAAGACTAGAAGGTCCCGAAATAACGTGCTCAACTTTTTGGCTCAGCTCTGGTAGATTCACCCCTCGAAATATAAGAAAAACCAATAACCCCTCATTTTATCTGTCAAACTTTCATAGCGAATCAAAGCAAACATTGCGTAGTACTAGAATTTCGACCAGAATGGGGTACGTTAATCGTTTGCTTGGGACCAATAAAGGGTGATACGGTCAAAATTTGGTCAATATCAACTTGACGTATTTCTTTCAATTTTGCATTTAAAAAACCTGAACACCCCTCATTTTGAAGGTGTGTGTGTGTAGAATGTTGCTCCTATTTTGATTTTGGAATTCACTCTTCAGTTGTCAAAAAAAGCAAGAAGAGCAGCGTATCAAAATTTTGCTCGCGCATCGCGAAAATCCGAGCTACTCGCACGCAAAGTTGGCAAAATCGCTAAAAGTTGCCAAATCAACCGTTACAAATGTAATTAAAGTGTTTGGGGAACGTTTGTCGACAGCCAGGAAGTCTGGATCGGGGGGAAATCGAAAACCGGAAGCCGCTGAGACGACAAAGAGAGTTGCCGGTAGTTTCAAGCGAAACCCTAACCTCTCTCTCCGAGATGCCGCAAATAAGCTGGGTGTATCGTCTACAACCGTGCATCGAGCCAAAAAACGAGCCGGACTATCGACTTACAAGAAGGTAGTGACTCCAAATCGCGATGATAAACAAAATACGACGGCCAAAGCGCGATCCCGGAGGCTGTACACGACGATGCTGACGAAGTTTGACTGCGTGGTAATGGACGACGAAACCTACGTCAAAGCCGACTACAAGCAGCTTCCGGGACAGGAGTTTTATACGGCAAAAGGAAGGGGAAAGGTAGCAGATGTTTTCAAGCACATGAAACTGTCAAAGTTCGCAAAGAAATATCTGGTTTGGCAAGCCATCTGTACCTGTGGCTTGAAAAGCAGCATTTTCATAGCTTCCGGGACTGTCAACCAAGAAATTTACGTGAAAGAGTGTTTGAATAAACGTCTGCTGCCTTTCCTGAAGAAACACGGTTGTTCCGTACTGTTTTGGCCGGATTTGGCATCTTGCCATTACGGTAAAAAGGCCATGGAGTGGTACGCCGCCAACAACGTGCAGGTGGTTCCCAAGGACAAGAACCCTCCCAACACGCCAGAGCTCCGCCCAATTGAGAAATACTGGGCTATTGTCAAGCGGAACCTAAAGAAGACCAAAAAAACTGCTAAGGGCGAGCAGCAGTTCAAGGCAAACTGGCTTTCTGCGGCGAAGAAGGTGGACAAGGTGGCTGTACAAAATCTGATGGCAGGGGTCAAGCGTAAGGCCCGGCAATTCGGATTTGGAAAAGCGGAAGCCTAACTGAATATTTTTCCTGAATTTTATACTAATTGAACTTGAAAAAGAAATTTAATTTGATTTTTTAAATAAACGATTTCACCGATTTACACGCGTTTTCCCTTGACCAAATTTTGACCGTATCACCCTTTAGGCTAGTCAAGTAGTGAGCCAATTTAAAATCGTTAGTTTCGTATTGATTGTTGGTCATAGCACATGGAGGGAGACGGCGCTGTCTTACTTCTCACGTCATTGACAGTTGCGTAAAACCTTCGCATATCATTCTGCTCCATACTTTCTTGCGCCTCAGCAATAACGCGTTCCTCGTACTGCCTTTTTTTCCTGCGATGGGTTCGTTTCTCAGCTGACCTTGCTACCCTGTACCGCTCTCTGTTCTGACGGGTACCAGACATCAACATTCGGCTTTTGGCGACGTTCTTCTCCTCTGTCACTCGCTGGCACTCCTCGTCAAACCACCCGTTCCGGGGGCGCCTCTGAGCTGTACCTATCACCTCTCGTGCTGTTGTGCTCACCGCTCCGTGGACAGCTTCCCACAGATTGTTGAGATTCTCGTTCACGTTGATTTCCGCTATCTGCTCATTCAGCTTCTGGTGGTACTCTGCAGCAACACCATCTACTGTCAAACGCTGGATGTTGAAACGCATCGATCTCCGGTTTCTCGAACTCGTAACGGTCGATAGACGCGCTTGAAATTTCGCGACAACGAGGTAGTGATCCGAGTCGATATTAGGACCCCTGAAGGTCCTGACATCTACGACATCCGAGAAATGCCGGCCATCCACCAACACGTGGTCGATCTGGAAGCAAGTTTCGCCATTAGGGTGTCTCCAGGTGTGCTTTCGGATATCCTTGCGTGCAAAGTGGGTGCTACTGATGGCCATACCACGAGCAGCAGCGAAGTTTATCAGCTTCAGGCCATTATCATTCGTTGCAGAGTGAAGGCTCTCTGTTCCAATGATTGGGCGAAAGAATTCCTGTCTTCCGACCTGCGCGTTTGCATCTCCGATGACAATCTTCACGTCGTGTTTAAGGCACTCATCATAGGTTTTATCCAGGCTTTCATAAAACGCGTCCTTCACGTCATCGGATTTATCGTTAGTCGGTGCGTAGATGTTGATCAGGCTGTAATTGAAGAATTTGCCACGAATCCTCAAAACGCAGATGCGGTTTCCACCGCATAACCCGCTTCATCTGTTTCCCAATCACTACAAAACCAACTCCGTGTTCTGAACGATGTGCTGGCGATAGGATCTACCGCCCTGAATTCACGTTTTCCAGATCTAAGCCACCGTACTTCTTGAATAGCAGCCACACTCACATTCAACTTTTGCAGTTCACGGGTCAGAAGGCCCACTCGTCCAGGTTCATTTAACGTTCTAACATTCCAAGAACCGAGTTTCCATTCATTGTCCTTATTTCGTTGCCGTTGGGTCAGTTGCCGAAAATTCCGTTCGTTTTTTCTTCTTCTTACTTCATTCTTCTGAGTACTTTTATAATTCAGTATGCTACCGTACCAGGGTCGCGATACCTACATCGTGTTGATGGGGCTGCCATCTTAGGTTTAGTTGACACGATTCAACATTTCTTGTTTCAGCCGCTGGATGCCAGACAGACGCTGTTTGAGCCGCACCTCCTGGTGGACAGACGCTCAGGTTATTGTGTAGATGGGGCTGCCATCTTGGATTTAGCTGACACAATACAGCATTTCTTTTTCAGCCGCTGGATCCCAGACAGACGCTGTTCGAGCCGCACCTCCTGGTGGACAGACGCTCGATGATTCGCACCTCCTCAGCCTTGCTATCATCACGATATGGGTTAATCGTGATGACATCATAGAGGTAACTCTAAGACTAGAAGGTCCCGAAATAACGTGCTCAACTTTTTGGCTCAGCTCTGGTACTATCTTCGGTCCCAAGTTAATCGATTCACCCCTCGAAACATAGGAAAAACCAATAACCCCTCATTTTATCTGTCAAACTTTCATAGCGAATCAAAACAAACATTGCGTAGTACTAGAATTTCGACTAGAATGGGATACGTTAATCGTTTGCTTGGGACCAATAGGCTAGTCAAGTAGTGAGACAATTTAAAATCGTTAGTTTCGTATTGATTGTTGATGACATTGCCCACACCCCGCTACCAGCACATATATGGGCTGTCATCATCCGACACGTGGAAGCATGAGGTAGGAGCTTGTGAAGACCAGAGCTATGTTGGACGCTCTTTCCCCTGTGGTCTTCACCATTTTGTGACATCACATTGCAAAAATTAATGTGTGTGACACATAATCGAAATATGAGGAATTTTCTCAGTGATAAGATTTGTTTTTTTTACCTTCCGGACCCGAAAGCCACCCTATAAAGTAATATATTATTTCAATATCGCTGAATCATTCACAATTTGAAAATAAACCTTTTTTTTAATTTTGTCATCCATGACAAATACGTATTTCGACTACATTGTGTTTTGCATACCAACATTAATTATGCGGAATAAAATGGAAGATAATCTTTTTTAGCTTTTTTTTTTTTTTTTCTTTATTAGAGAGATTTTTAGCCTAAGGCTAGTTCATCTCTTTTAAAAATTACAAAAAAGAATTGGGACCTCAAAAGGAGGATCCCAATCTTGGCAAGTGGGCATTTAGCTTAATTATATAAAATATTGTAAAACACTACCAAAAGGGCCAACGAATTCAAAAGCACAAACAGAAAACACTCAAATGTTGTAAAAAAGATTCGCCTCCTTCAGGAAGGCGATGAGGGCGTCTGCTGCCGGGGACTCGTCGCCAAGCAGACTTTGTATGCTGGTTCCCTCCAGACCGAAGGCAACCCGAAGGTCCTCGAGCTCCACACAGTTGATGAGGATGTGTTCTACGGAGGCTGGCACTCCGCAGGTTTCGCAGGTTCTCCGGAACGGTGTTCCTCCGAAATTATGGGAGGCCCTGCTATGCCCGGTGCGCAGCCTGGACACCACTTGCTGCTCCTTGAGGCTCGGTCGATCCTTCCAGGGATCGGTGGTCGCCTTGATTTTTCGTAGTTGGTGAGTTCAAATTGTTCCTCCACTCGTTGTCCCACGCTCTCCGAACCGTCCGCTTGATCCATTTTTTGATGTCCTGGAACGGAACATTGTCAGAGAACCTGGGTCCGATGGGGCCTGAGCCGGCGAGGTGGTCGGCGATCACGTTCCCCTGGATGCCACAGTGCCCGGGTACCCACATGTATACGGTGTTGGGCGGCGCATGCGTTACCGTCCCTTGTATCCACGGATGCTTTGGTGCTTCATCGGTTAGGGCCATTATTGCGCTTTGTGAGTCGGTAACGATGAGGATCGGCCGATTGGCCGGAAGGGAGGTTGCGTGAAAGATGGCCGCTGCCTCAGCGGAAAACACCGAGCACTGGGCCGGAAGTGAATTGCTGACGACCAAACTATCTCCTGAAACCCCCATTCCCACTCCGCTGCTGGAGAGCGAGCCATCAGTGTACCTGATTTCGTGATCTTGATAGTGCGCCCCGAGAGTTTCGACGACTGTCCGGCGCAAAGCCAGTGTATTGTCTCCTGCCCTGAAGCGGTCCTTGATTCGGCTGTCGATTCTGATCTGATGTGATTGCCAACTTTTGTCTCCGTGCCAGTGGACCCTGGCCACTGGAGGGAGATCTACGTCGGCGACCGTGCGGAGGAGTCGGTTCGCCTCGTCGAGGAGAAAGATCCTGCTGTTTCCCGACGTTTTAGCGAGGAAGGCAGCGGCTTTGGTAGCGGTAGCTGCGGTGTAGACGAGCCGAAAAGGCAGAATACCGGCTTCCACGCACGCGGCGTCGGCCGGGGTGGAGGGCAGGAGACCGGAGACTGTTCTTACGTATCCGTTGTAGACCGGTTCCAAGATTTGGACGGCTTTCTCGGCGGCAAGGCACGTTAGTTCTACGCCGTACAATAGGCGACTGTCGATGATGGCTCGGGCTACCCGGAAGCGGATTTCACGGTTGTTGGATCGGTGGGGGCGGGAGATGGTCTTCATCAGATTGGATCGACTACGACAGTCCTTCTTCACCTGTTGGAAGTGCGGCTCGAGGGATAGGTTCCGATCGAGGAGCACTCCCAGGACCCTTATTGTGTTTTTGGTCGGTATTGCTTGCTGTTTGATCATGATGGGCTGTCCGTTGTTCCGATGCCGGGTGGTGCATATATGGCAGCGCACGCTCTTGCCGGCGGAAAGCTGGAACCCAACGGAGTCAGCCCATCTGACCACCGAGGAGACTGCCGCTTGTGCCCTTAATTTCGTCCTCTGCCGGGTGGGGCCCACCGTTACAATGAGGACGTCATCCGCGTAGACGAAAATATATATGTTCCTGGGTAGCTTGTCGAAGACCCCGCTCATGGCCACCAGGAAGAGGGTGACCGCGATGACCGAACCCTGTGGTACTCCGGTTTCTTCGCTGAACCTTCTGGATTGGACGTTTCCGACCGACACCCGAAAAGATCGGTCGGTCAGAAAGTTTCGGACGAAGTGTAGGATGCGTCCTTTTAGTCCCCATTCGGCTAACTTCTTCATTACTGCTGGTGTCCACGTTCTGTTGAATGCTTTGGAGATGTCCAGCGAGACGATCTCCGTATGATGGCCTTGGTCCTGTGCCTCCTTCAGGACTTCTCCAAGAGTGGCGAAGTAGGTGGAGGTACCGTACCCTTGCCTGAAGGCATGCTGTCGATGGTCAAGCAGTCCCTTAGACTCCAGGTATTGCTTGAGCCTTCTGTTGACCATCCGCTCCAAGACTTTGGCCATGCAGCAGGTCAGCGCGATGGGGCGAAATCCTGTGACGTCCTTGGTCCCTATATTTGTTTTGGGGATCGGGATCACGAGACTTTCCCTTCATTCGTCCGGGTATTCTTCGTTGGTCCATAGCTGGTTGTAGAGTTCGAGCAATTGTGTTTTCCCTTCGAGCGGTAGATGCTTCAGCAGTGGGTATCCGATTTCATCCGGTCCGGCCGAGTTTCCGTTGCTCCGGCTAAGAGCGAACGAGAATTCTTCCCAGGAGAATGGTTGGTTGATCGGTAGGTCGTCGTTGTCTGTGGGAATTCCGAAAGTGGGCACCGAGGACAGCGAAGGACCGACTCGTCGTTGGAAACTTTCGCTGTACTCCGCGATTCCTGATAGTTTGGCGAAGTATTTTCCCAGTTCATCTGCTACGGCGTTTGGTTCGGTGATGGTAACGGTGTCGGCTTGCACTTGTAGCGGCGATGATCGCCGCTTGCCGCTGAGGACATTGATGCTGCTCCACAGTTCTGCTGACGATTGTTCGGCGTTGATGCTTTCCAGAAAATCCGACCAGCTATTTTGCTTCGCCGTCCGGATTTCCTGTCGGCATTTGTTGTGCTGCTGGCGGTAGTTTGCGAGGATTTCCTCTCTCGCAGGGTCGTTCGTAGAGGTTCGCTTGAGTTTACGGAGTGCCTTCCGCCTGGCTTTTACAGCACTTTTCGTGTCTTCATTCCACCATCGGAGTGCCCTCCGCCCGGGAATACTGCCTGTTCTTGGGATGTTGGTGCTGGCTGCTTTGTGGATGACTCTCGTGATACTTGGGATGTCCGTAGGTTCTTCAGTCTGCGCGAGAGTTCGGTAAGAGAGCTGATAGCCCTCCCAGTCGGCTTCTCCATACCGCCACCGTGGTCTTCTGGTGTTCTCCGGTGCCATTGCGGCGGATAACCGGATCTGTACCGGATAGTGGTCGCTGCCGTGCAGATCCGGGTTGATGCCCCATAGCATTTTGCCCGCTAAGGAGCGGCTAACTGCGGACACGTCGATGGCGGTGGTGTGCCGTCCGTTAAAGAACGTCGGGCCCCCGTCATTTAGGATGACTAAATCTTCCTCCTCAAAAATATCGCAGATGGTGACCCCTCGTGGGTCCGCTCTTGGACAACCCCAGGCCGGGTGATGGCCGTTCAGGTCCCCAATGAACATTTTGGGTTCTGGTAACTGCCGAAGTATTCTGCGAATCTCGGTTCCTAGATTGGGTAGTCTTCCGCAGGGCAGATAGGCGCAGGCGATGTAGATACTAGTTGGGTCTTGGATCCGAATGCCGACAATAGGGAGGTCGGTATCGAGATCAACCATTTGATGGGGGACATTTTTACGGACTCCTATGGCCACAGATCTCCGAAGGTTAGATCCTTGTTTAATGGACCATAAGTAATCGCCGCCAAGTGTCTTATTCATCCGGTCCACCGTGACGTTGTTGACCTCTTGCAGGGCAATCACCAGGGGGGACGCACCGCTGCAGAGGAGTACCAACTCCGCCAAGTGGAGAAAGTAGCCGCTGATATTCCATTGGAGCATAAGATTCACCGGAACCGGTAGGGCGGGGGTAGGAAACCCCCGCTCCGATCCGCTGGTTGAAGGTCGTTCGATTGAGCGGTGATGGCTCATTGCGTAGTAACTGGAATTTGGGGGTGTTCCAGTCGGACTTGCTGCGGCAGAACTTTGTGCCGAATGTGACGGATCCCCACCAGGGGCAGGTGGAGTCGTTCCACCCACCCGGGGCAGGGGCGTCCCAACGGTGGTGAAGAAATCTATCGTTGTATTTGAGCTTGGAACTATGTTTGAGGGTGAGCTACTGGTTTGGGACTTGAATCCCTCTTTGTCCTTCGGGGAATGGGAACAACTGCCCTTATCCGTCCCGATATTATGCTGTGCCTTGAATCCCACGTTGTCCGCAGGGGAATGGGGGCCGAGGCCGCCCTTGTCCGTCCCTCTTCCAGGTTCGCCGCAGCGCCGGGGGGTTGTCGCCGGTTCCGGTGTGGGGAAGACGTCCGCACCGACGGGGCCCCGGCTACTGTGGGCTAGTACTGGGTTCTTCGCCATTTGCATCTTCGTCCGAGGGTCCCAGAGGTTACCCGACAGTTCCGGTTGGGGTATATCTTCCGCACTGCCGGTGCCCTGAGTACCCACGGCACGGATATTTTCATTCGGTTGGCTCGGACACCGAGGGGGGTCCGAAGATTCCAGTTGGGGTAAGACTTCCGGTTCGACGGTGCCCCGGCTATCCGAGGCCAAGCGCGAACCAGTTGCTTGGTGGGTGGTGGTGGCTGGTGTTGGTAACGAAAACGAAGAGTAGTCCGCGTCCATGGCGTGGTCGGTTGCCGGAGGGTGTGTGGGGGGACTTAGAGGCTAGGTGGTTTTGGTTTTGCCTGCTATTCTGCCACTCCTTCCAGTTTGCGTGGGCGTTATCTTCGTGAGGATCGCCTTTTGCACTTTGGAAGCTGGGGCATTTCGGGGGGGGGGGGGGGGGTGGTTGGGTGGGTCGACGAGCTTTATGGGTCTTTTGGCCGATTGGGAGGTTTTTAGCTGGTTTATTTAAGCATTCCGCTTATGACCCAATTTCATTACTGTACTTTTAAATAGGCCGATTGCAGTTGGAATAAAAAGAATCGTATCTTCCGATGTTTTGAGGCAATAACAACACTTGGAAACGAAATCATGACCAGTATACAACCGTACAACTGACATCATGGATTATTTCAAAGTGCGTTGTATTTCGAGATCCTGACCTGGTATCCGGAAAAGTTGTTCAGATTGTCAAAAACTTTGGAATAATTATTAGAATAGTTCAGATTTCTGCCACTATGCAGCGCTGGTGGACAGTGTGAATTTTAAAAGCTAACTATGTGTCGTGAAGCTGATTATCTGGGAAGTTGCTGTCTTCAGCAAACATGTTAAGATATCGACTACCACTTTGAATTGACTACTACCATTTTTAGTCGGATTATGTTTTACCTATACAGAAAGTCGCTACAGTAAATAGGAATCAATTGTTTTTGGTTACAATTTCAAAGATGATCAGTTTGACACATAATTTCGGGCTCATCACCCCTGTGCTGAAAAAAGGTTTTAATTTCGTTTAGGTACATCATTCACCCAATCCCTTGTAGCCTGGTACTCACAAGAGAAGGTCACGATAATGTTCCGAGTTATGACGCTCAAGGAATTCATTAAACCTCCTGAAAATAATCGGTGAAGAAGTATCGAAGCCGTCATTTCACCTACTTTATTTTATATATTAAGATTAAACTAGCATTTTTGCAGTTATTTGATTTGCTTTTATTTCAAAAACCAGATAGCACTCACAATAGTTGGTCATTGCAATAGGGCTTATTTCTTTGGCTAGATTTAATCTCTAATCAGTATACTGATGTACAAAGTGTCGCTTAGCAACCACGCTTCACTCCAACTTCTGCGGCTTCCGAACGTAGGACTTGACGTAGAAATCCAGGAACATCACCAAGAAGAACCCCGTCTGCAGCAGTCCGATCCAATGCCACAGCTGGGGAAAGCCGCAGTCCATCCCCGTCAGTGCGGGTCGACCGAAGTGAACCATCAGATAGACGAACTGAAACAGTTGCATTCGGGTGAGGTGCTTCTTACAGTGAGCAGCTAGCCTAGAGTTGTACGTCGTTAGATAGTAATACAGGTAGATACCCGTATGACCCAGTGTGTTCCACACGCCCAGAATTAAATTGTGACCTCCTGTAATGTGGGATAAGTTTAGCGGTTGCAGGAATGAGGGGAAGTTCTTGTAGTCTTAAAATGAACCTGGAACAAACAGAACACCAAAGTAGGAGACCGCTACCATGGTAGCGTGATGGTAGACGTGTAGGAACGATAGTTGTGACTGCTTCTTGCGTAGGATGAAAAACAACGTGTCTGCCAGGTCGAGAACCTTCAATACGAAGTAAGCATATGAAACGTACAGTTCTTCATAGCCACTGGCAGTGCTGGATAAGTCGACCGGTTGGCAAACGTAGGAAAAGCTGGCCCGTTTCAATAGGTGGCGGATCTACAATTGATAAATTCAAATTTAATCATATGAGTAATAGCGATAAGCTGATGTTTCTAGCATGCAGAATCATAATGGCCTATCTGAGAAGTTCCAGGTCAAAAAGGAAAAAATAATTTTTTTAGGCTCGACTTTCTCCGATTTTCATTAAACGTTGCATAATTGTTTGTTATGGACAATCTTCTACATTTGTAGTACAATTTGGTATTTTTTTTTTCAAAATGGGGTATTCGACATTTTTCCATAAATCAAAGCATGAATACGACACTTTTAATCAAAATGACGTCCAAGTAGGGAAAAATAAAATCTTTGTGAAAATTATACATGATAAATGTTTTTAATTATTTTAAGAAAATAGTGTTTAAATTTTAAGTACCAAAAATGTCCTTGATCAATATTTTCGATATTTTTTTAAAACAAAGCTTATGAAAAATGCTAACTTTCGAAATGTTGATCGAAAATCGAAGATCATGATTTTTTGTTATTTTGATACAGACAATAATATTTGAGTCTTTCAAACCGTTTCCTGTGCAAACATTACAAGAACATTGCACAAAAAACCTTTAAAAAATTTGACCAAAAGCTGATGTTCAATAATTTTTGTAAATTTTGAAGTGTTCAACGTTTTCAATACTAAAAACTTTGCATTTTACATTAGCTTTTTCACTAAAAAAATCAAAAATATTTAACGAAATTTTGTGTAATTTAAATTTATACACTTTAGTTTTGATTTTGTACTCAAAAGTTTCAAAAACACACAGTACACGGTTTATATATAAAATAATTTATTTTTCCTACAACTTTTTCTCAGACGTCATTTCGATTTGAAGTTACGTTTCCGTGCTACAATTTATTGAAAATGTCAAATACCTCATTTTGAAAAATATTGCAAGGTTCCAAATGGCTGAATTGTACACGATAAGAAAAAGTACCCAAAAGTAAGTTCTTTTCACTCATCTCGGCACTATAGAACAGGAACCCAGAAGAAAGTAAAGCGTGTCAAAGTAGTTTTCATTTGCTTGTGTGCAATTCGTATGGAATTTTCCCCTAGTTTTCCACCCAAAAGTAAGTTAGTTGTACCCAAATTTAAGTACAGATAATGCTAACTGCTATTATTTTGAACGATTTTACTTGGTGTCTCACTTCCCGGCAGGTGCTTCCAAAAATTTAATATATTGTTATAATAAAATTGAACATATTTGTAGTTCTTTGGTGAACGTTTCAGCTCAATTGATCGTAAATTAACAAAGTTACATCATGTCAAAGTGACCATTTTGTATGAAAATCGGCATGCGCTGCTATTTTATCGAACACAACTGTAAATATGATTAGACTCATCGTTGGGTTCCACATTTTACTAACCCTGTTGGGTGGCTTTGCTCCTCCGGTTTTGACAACATTAGAAGGAGAAAAGGAGACAAACTAGTTAAAAGTAGGTAAAAGTGAACTGGCCGTTGGGTACTTTTTTCTTACCGTGTAGCACGCATCTCAATGAACTTTTAAAAATGTACTATCTGCATTGATCGATTATATCTTTTGATAACCACGGCTTTACAAACAGATGTCACGTTTTTTTGCAACATAATAATAGAGAAGATTCTCATATATCATCTTCTTTTTCTTCATTCCTTTATTAAACGTCGGTCGCTGTTCGGCAATCTAGTGTCAATCACCGACGGAAATCGAGTGCCATCCATTGACGGCAATCAACTGTGCAGGAGGACAGCTTTCACACCTGCGTAGGATATCGCACCCATTCAGCAACACATGGGCCGGGACCAACGGCCGGGTTACCAGAGATTTTTAGGCCTCAGAAAAATCCCACCGTCCTCGGCTGGTATTGAACCCAGACCCATTGGGGTGAGAAAGCAGTCACGCTTACCACTACACCACGGGCGCCGGCTATCATCCAGAACATCAAATTCAACAGGTTATGTTTTTGTAGCTGGGTCATTAACGACCGAGAAAGTCGATGGAGAGAATCGACCAAAGCAGATAGGACCTTTTGAATTGTTCGTCTAGAAATGGGAATGATTGTCCATAACAAACAATTTTGCAAATTCTCATGCAAATCGGATAAGGCCGAGTCTGATCTATTCGTCATTTGGCGTGGAACAACGATAATCGATTCTCATCTTCGAAGTTCATTTCGAATTACTACAATTCAAGCTGAACATTGCATTAAGTCCTAAGTAACATAGACAGATTCTCTTCGTCGACTTTCTCTTTGTATCCCCACGGGCATTTAAAGACATTCCCAGGTATTTTCAGTACACAAACCAGAAGCTTGTATCTAGCATCTATGGCAAACACAACAACAAACCGTTATGTGCTTAGGTTAGAACGAAAGAGAAAGTCGACCAAGAGAATCGATCAATGTTACTTAGAACCTAATGCAATGTTCAGATTGAATTGAGTGAATCAATTTACCACAAATTTTCCTATACGATGCTGTATCAGATTTCATTGGTTATTCAAAGAAACAATTCTAGATAGAGCTGGAATAAGGGCGTAACAGCTTTTGTAAACAATTAATTGTCCCGATGATTTCTCGAAAGTCATGGCTCGCCCTGGAAAATCGACATCACCATGTTGGTTTGTTCCATAAATTCCTAGAAATCAACGAGAGAAGCCATTGTTAACAAAAGCTGTTATGCCGTAATTCCAGCTCTATCTAGAGTTAATGCACCGAGAAATGCTAATCCTGCTGAGCTATTAACAAAAGAGAAAATCGTTCACGAGCATCTAGGTACCATTTCAGCTAGGCCGTTCTGAACGCTAGATTTACTCACCAGCACCACAAAGAGCACACCGTTGACTAGCACTTGTAGTAGATTGTACTTCCGGATCACCCCTTTCAACTCGTATGGCTTACGGTTGGCCATAAAACGTGGTCCGATCTGGAGAACCACCACCAGGTAGGCTGCGACGATCATCGGAACCTGCCAGTTTGCAGTCAACAGCGGAAGATCAGCACTTCGGCTATCTGTAAGCACATGATCACAATCACATAACATCACTAATCGAGCAATTTCAATTATGGACACGATCACTTTCACGGTTCACTTGGACAATAGGCTTGGGCGAAAGTTTTGTTAATGTGATTCTGGAATTTAGTATGCAAACCATACATCTCCGAACACGTACCTCGGTGGTCCCGCAGAAACCGATTGTAGCCACTTATGAAGTTCTCCGTCACGTCAGCCATTATGGACCGGGAGCACGAATTACGATGTTATGTTGTGTTTTCAAAAAAAAAAAAAACAGCGAGAGACGCGTAAGTCAACTTCAAATCACATAGGACCCAGGGCCCAAACAGATAGACGATCGGCGAACTAGTGAGCCGAAATCGTCATTTGTCGATAGTTTATATATCGGATTTGGAAGCAAAGCGTCGGTTGAATTAGAATTCATTTGTAACCGAGTCCCGTGATCTGGAATGTCGGTAATAATGACGCCACCAACCACCACCTGTATGAATTGATGAGCGTTTAAATGAGACAAGTTCATCGATATTAATATTAATAATACTGGCGGGAAATTGAAACACGACGTAATTTGCTGTGTTAAGTGTCTTTTAAGGGTATCTGAGTTTGAATAAAATTCAATCACTCGTGGACTTACGTCGTTTGTCTGGATAGTGATTCAGTGTCGATAAGAGAAAAATCTCTCTCAGACTTGGTGGAGATGACGGGCTTATTGTATATTTAGACTGACCGCTATACTGTAAATTGAAAACAGTGCTGCAAATACTCGCTGCAGCTGGTAATTTCCCTCCACACTACTTTTGATCGTAACTAGCGGAGAACTTTTCCACCTTTAATGGTGATGGTGGTTAATAAGGTGTAGTGCAGTTGAAGGGACTAGATCACTAAACCCATACTTTGACCACTAGACTATCAGTATTTGTAGTTGAAGGGACTAAGTAGTTAGGAAAAATATCATGTTTGAGAATATCGAGCAAAGAATAGTTGACTGTGGTACTCTTAGTTTCGTTTGGTTGGTTTCTAACTGAGCTTCGAACCCCCTTAGATTGAAGAACATATTCTTTTCTACGAGCAAGGGTACTTCCCCTAAAGTCGTTCGGATGTGGGTGAAACAACAATTTTAGACGTCTATTATCTACTTATCTGTCCTTTGTCCTCCTCCTGATGCTGCTGATGTCCGGTGGGGCCGACGGTAAGGCGGTGGTTCTGCTGCTACAAAGCACGGACTGTGCTGAGCGGTTTGTTTCTTCGGCTGCTTAGCACTCTGTCCTTAACACATAGCGGGGCTCGTCTGTTGGACCCCAACTCTAAGGAAACCTCAGCGTGAAACTTCAAAGGCACACATGTCAGCTTCCACAAAACATACAAATTTGAAATTGCTACTCTCTGTTTGTAGTAGCACAGCAAACAAGGAGTAGCAATTTCAAATTTGTATGTTTAGTGGAAGCTGACATTTGTGCCTTTAAAGTTTCACGCTAAGGCTTCCTTAGAGTATCACCTTAACACAATCACCTATCCGACATAATGTGGTGAGGTCCTACAAAGCCTTACATATTCGTGTATCCATTAGGGAAACCGTGAAAAACTTCGTTAAGCATATGTAACCTCAGAATCAATTTTTTTTTTTCCGTGTTGGGTGTATTCATCACTGCGACCATTACTTTGATCTATTGTGATATTCCCCGTTTTTATATTGCTTTATCAGTTATGTCGTATCACTATTTTGTGAAGCGACCGACATAGACTGACCAAAAGCATTTTCCCAGCCAGGTATTACATTTCGAATGAAATGTACACACTTAATTCAGATCACCGAAGTCGGTAGGAATTTACCGGGTTTTTGAACAGCAGAACAAGTCGGTAAAATTTTCAAATGACCGTTACACGTGAGAAATCAAGAAAATTTATAAATTTTATTTTTCATCAATAAATGGGGTAAGCCGAACAAATTCTGTACAAGTTCCGAATAAATTTTCTAATAATTGGATTTTTCACTGATTTTTAAACTTTTACCGAACAGTTCTGTAGTTCAAAATTTACCGAACGATGGAGGCCTGGATTAGTGTGTACTACTTTACTGGGACCTGCATTCCAAATATCAAAGGGTTCTGCCAGCCCCTTATCCAGAAAAATACGCCTTTTATTGAAGATTGCTGCACAAGATCATAGCAGGTGTTCAGAGTCTTCCTTTTCTATACCACAGAATCGACACATATCCTCTTGAAGTTTTCCTATTAGCTTCAAATGATATTTACATGGACAATGTCCTGTTATCAAACCAGTATAGACACTGAGATCTTTCTTTGATAATTCAAGAATTTTGCTAGTCATTGAAATGTTCGGAATTATGAACCGTTTCGACTGCCTAGCAATGGAAGTGTTGTTCCAATTGGTCTCCACTTTCATTTTTTTCCATTTCTTGAACTCCATTTTAAGAGAACAAGTAGAAACTCCACAGAATGGTTCTGGTCCTATGAATTGCTGTGATGATCCTAGCCTGGCTAACGTATCGGCTTTTTCATTTCCTTCAATTCCACATTGGCCAGGAACCCAATATAAGTTTACTTGGTTTTGACAGGTCATTTTCTGAAGTGACATTGCACTTTCCCATACGAGTTTGGAATTGCATGTTGCTGATTTTAAAGCATTTAATGCTGCTTGACTATCAGACATAATGCAGATATTCGAATGTTTATAATTCCTGCGCAAGCATATTACAGAGCATTCAAGAATTGCTTGAATTTCTGCTTGGAACACGGTTGGCCAGTAACCCACGGATATTGAGATATCAATCCCTGGACCAGTTACCCCTGCTCCCACACGGTTGTTCAATCTTGAACCGTCTGTATAAAAAAAAACAGTTGAACCTGGACGGATGTTTGGTCCCCCACTTTCCCAACATTACGATCAAATTCTGCTGCATTGTATAAACGAACGAAATTATATTTTTTCTCCATCCAGTCTTCATTTTTTAATACAAGAGAATCAATATCAAACATTTTTAAAATGCTAAGGTGTCCTGTAAGATCACCTTCAAGGAAGTACTTTGTTCGTTGAATCTTTAAAGCGCTCCTTTCAGCTTCTAATTGGATAAATTGATGCAACGGAATCAGATAAAGTAGAGCATCTAGTGAAATACTCGGTGTGCTGTTCATTGCACCAGTTATTGAGAGAGTAGCTAGTCTTTGCAGTCTCCCCAGCTTCTTCTGAGCCGATTTTTCATTAGTTTTCGGCCACCAAACTAATGATGCGTAGGATATTCTGGGTCTTACAATCGTCAAATAAATCCAGTGGATCATTTTTGGTTTTAGGCCCCATTTCCTACCAAATGTTTTTTTACTTATCCAAAGAGCATTTTTTGCCTTACAACCTGCTCTATATGTGAATTCCAGTTAAGTTTACTGTCAAGAATGACTCCCAGATACTTGACTGTTCGTGAAAGTTCTAAAGAGGTTTCTTTCAATTTTAAGTTATTTATAGAAAATTTCCTTTTCCGTGTGAACGGTCCAATAGTGGTCTTAGAAGGGTTTATATTCAACCCTTCTTTAGCGCACCACGACGAAACATAATTTAAAGCAGTTTGCATTCTATTTGAAATGATATTATCAAATTTTCCTCGTACTATTACGACTATGTCATCAGCAAAGCCAATTATCTCGAAGCCCTTTGCTTCTAAGTTTTTGAGAAGTTCGTCAACAATTAAAGACCATAAAAGAGGTGAAAGCACACCTCCTTGAGGACACCCTTTTACAGCTCTAACTGTTATGGATGAGCTTCCAAGATTTGCTGAGATTTCTCTTTTAGAAAGCATCTCATTAATCCACTTAACGATGCTTTTGTCGAATCCACGCTTCAACATATTGTTTTTCATGGAGTTATAAGATGCATTATCAAATGCTCCTTCAATATCAATGAATGCTGCTAGTGACATTTCTTTTGATTCAAAAGATTTTTCTAGTTTTGTAACAAGCGTGTGAAGAGCTGTTACTGTTGATTTACCAGCTTGATATGCAAACCAATATTTACTCAAAGGAATTGTAATCAAGTACGTTGATTTTATATGCTGATCTATTATTTTCTCCATTATGTTTAGCATAATGGATGATAAACTGATCGACCTGAAGGATTTAGAAGAAGTTTTATCCTTTTTATTAGCCTTCGGAATAAATATAACCTTTACTTGACGCCAAGTTATCGGAATATAACTTAATCTTAAGCTTGCTCTAAACAAGCCTGTTAGAATGGGTGTCAAAGTTTCTTTTCCTTTCTGAAGTAGTACTGGAAAAATTCCGTCACTACCTGGTGATTTGAAAGGAGCAAAAGAATCAATCGCCCATTCGACTCGTTTTTCTGTAAAAATTTTATTGGCGTATTTTACGAGCGTCTTTCCTGGCAATCTCTAACCCAGTCGATTCATTCATTGGTGTCTGAACTTCCGTCCTGATTTTTCCAGAGCCAGTTTGCGCTGCACGTGTATTTTGGTCTTCATTTACGTTGGTAATTGAACATGGAAAGTGTGTTTTCATCATTGTTTCTAATGTTTCTTCCACAGACTTAGTAAAAGTGCCGTCTTCATTTTTAAGAGTTCCTAAGCCATTTGAATGATCTTTTGAAAGGACTTTTTGCAATCTGGCAGCAACTGGAGTATTTTCAATGTTTTCACATGTTTGCCTCCAGTCCTTCCTTTTAGATCTTCGGATTTCCTTATTATAACATGTGAGGGCTTCCCTGTATTGATCCCATTGTCTTGTTATTTTCGCCCGGTTAAATAGCTTCCGGGTTTTCTTCCGAAGTTTCTCTAAGGTTTTATTCCACCAAGGTACATCCCTATTCGTAGAGCGTTCCTTTGCAGGACAGCTGTCGTAATAAACTTGTTGGATTAAGCTTGAAAGCTCATGAGAATTTTTCTCAAGTTCATTGCATGTTTTTGAACATCCTCTCAAGTTATTAACTCCAACTATAAGCTTTGAGTTGTATTGCTCCCAGTTAGTTTTCCTGGGATCTCTTATAGTTTCAATGATTTGTTGATTAATTTCATAATCAAATATAATTTGCTTATGATCGGACAAAGATACTTCATCCGATACGTGCCAATTCTTGATTTTGTCAGAAATCGTTGGACTACATAGTGTTAAGTCAAGAACTTCTTGCCTAATTGTGTTTATAAAAGTTGGATCATCCCCCTTATTACATATATCTATTTCATGTTTTGAGATAAAGTCTAAAAGGCACTCACCT